CACATTCTCGCTCCTTGTCATCTGTGTGTACCAAACACCTGCCAGGTGCTGTTGCCAGGCACTGGGACATGATCCCACCCTCCCATCCATGAGAAAGCTGGGACTGGAAGCTGACCATGTGGCAGAGGATGCCGGGCACCTGGGGAGTGCTGCAGAAAGTGCCGGGTAGACAAGGACGGCAGGCATCCCGGGTCCCTGGATGGCCCGTGGGGTCTGGCCCTGAGGTTCAGCTGAGCAGGGCATTCCGGGTAGTGACCCTGAGTGGCCCGGTCTTGCTGGACCAGACGTGTCATGAGCAGTGAGGGTAGAGCCAAATGGGGCCCTCTTACTCCAGGGCCAAGGAGTGGAACTAAGCCGAACACAGGAGAGGACTGAGGGTGAGGGACCGGGAGCAGGGAGGTGTGGGCAGGAAGGTGAGGGCTATCCTGGCTGGGGCTGGCGGTGAGGCATCCGTGAGGGGTGTCAGCTGCATGTGTGAACTTGACCTTGATGTGGGCAGCAGGGTGGAGAAACTGACCAGGTGGAAGGATCCTCGGAATCCTGCAACCAGCTGTGCGGCTCCAACTGCTGTCCCAAGTAGGAACAGTGGGCCACTGCGTAGGTGGGGGTGTGGCCCCAAGCCCCCGGATGTCCCCAACTGTGATTTAGCCCCACCTGTTCACGCTGACCCCAGCAGGCCTGCTCACTCTGTGTCATCCTGCGTCTGTGTGACGTCAGGTTTCCACGGCACCTGGGAAGCAGTTACAAGGCCTGACGCCTCTCACCCCTGACTGCTTGCAGCAGCACATGGCCAGGTGACTCATGAGCTGCCGGAGACTGATGTTCCAGTGGCACTGGTGAAGTCAGCAGCCTGAGCCCAGGCGCTGCCAGAAATAGCCTTGATATTGTCCCATGTCACAGGGAGGTGAACTTACGCTCAGGAATCGAGCGTCCTGGGGCTCAGACACATCCCCTGCCAGCTCGAAATCAGCTCTGGAACGTGATGGATCTCAGTGACCGGAGCGGAGGGGGGTTGAGTGGGGGTCCCATGGATGACCTGCTCCCCTTGCCAGGAGTGGTGGGAGTTAGAAACAGCCCCTGCTTGGCGGCTGGGACCGGTCGTCTTCCCGGCTGTAGAGCCACTCCTCTGCCTTGCCATGGCCTCCTGAACAGTCTTAGGTCGGGGACAACCTGGCAAAGAGAGGTGTGAGCCAAACTGCAGCGGCAGGATGAAATAAGCTGGCGGCAGATATGCGTACTGGGCGGGGACCCCCTGTGTGTGCTTTTCAAGGTTGGGGCGGCTGCAGAAAGGGCCCGGTGGGAGTCGGCTGTCTGGGCCAGGTGGACAGGCCTGCACGGGCCCGGAGCTGACGTGTCCCACCCTGCTTCCAGCTGTACCTGCGGGAGCTGCTGCGGCTGACGCACCTGCGTTTCTACCAGCACCTGGTCTCGCTGGGCGAGGACGGTCTGCAGATGCTCTTCTGCCACCGCTGGCTCCTGCTGTGTTTCAAGCGGGAGTTCCCCGAGGCCGAGGCGCTGCGGATCTGGGAGGCCTGCTGGGCCCACTACCAGGTGAGCCGGCGCAGCACGGCTGGGACCACAGCCCCTGAGCGATGGCCCCCTTCCTGTGGCCAGCCTTCGAGGATGGCAGGGTGCAGGCATCACCATGCTCCTCCTCAGGGGTCCCCCTCCTCCCTGCCCCCCCATCCAACCACCCACATACCACACGTCAGCCTCTCACGCAGCAATGACTTTCTGGTCCCATGTGGCTGGATTCAGACCTTGCAACTCACCTCCCAAGTAACTGAAATCCATGCAAATTGCCCACTGACTGTGCTCATTACCACGTTCTGGGGCTGAGCTCCCTCCTGTCACAACCAATCAGTGTGAGAGACATCAGTGGGGCCGAGAGAGGCCATGGCAGCTCGGGACTGTTCTGCCATGGAGGTCCAGCTCGCCCCGCCACCCTTCTGCTCAGGGAGAGGACTGGAGATCCTGCTGCCCCACAGCCCCTCGGAGAGCCCCAGATCAGTGCTGCCAACTCCCACTTGTCCTTGACCTTCATCCATGTCCCCTCGGCAAATGCCCCGACTCTGTCCCATGGCCTCAATGCCCGAGCTAGGGACAAGCTGGCGGTGTTAAAGGATAGGCAAGTCTCTTTGAATCCATCAGCCTCTAAAAAAAATAGTATCAACGCATCCAGGAGGGGAGGACCTTTCCACGAGAGCGGGCTCCATGCTCCATTCTCCACTGCGGAGCTTCCATGAGACAAGCTTGGTGGAGAGAGATGAGCGCCCGCCGGCCCAGGGAGGTTTGCGCTGGCATTTCCCACCCTTACCACTGTCACAGGGGATTCCAGCTGATGAGAGTGAGCCAGAAGAAATGAATGAGCGAGGCTGGTCCACGAGCCGCCTTTGCATTTACTGGTCCTGGCCTGCTGGGTCTGGGCTGCGTGTCCTGCCTGCATTAGCATGCTTGACGTGGACAAGGGTGAAATATCTGTACCAATAAAGGGAAGCATGGCACGGATGGTCCAAAACATTTACTGGTCCTGGCCTGCTGGGTCTGGGCTGCGTGTCCTGCCTGCATTAGCATGCTTGACATGGACAAGGGTGAAATATCTGTACCAATAAAGGGAAGCATGGCACGGATGGTCCAAAACGCTACATCTTCTGCGTTGCAAGTTTTTCCAAAAGCAAATTCACCACCCTTGTTCCGTTACATTTAAGCTAATGATACCAGTGAGCCCCGAGCATCGCCCAACTGGCGGGGCCATTTCTCACGGTGACGTTCCTTGCTGTGCTCTGTCAGTGTCTCAAGTTTAATGAAATCCAGTAAGAGTTACAGGAGGGAGGCCTGCTTGCACATCTCTGTCGGATGCCGTTTTGTTTGAAGCCCACAAAGCAAGTCCACATTATTTTTGGACTGTGGGCTAAATTTAGCCACGTTTGGTCCCGTCCCTTGGTCGATCAAGCAGTACGGGGTGGTGGGGAGGTGGTAGGATGGTGGAGTGGGGCTGATGAGCCAGGAGCGAGCTCTGTGGTGGGCCGGGTCACTGCCAGGTCATGCCTTTAACTTGTTAGTCGCCCCTGAGTGAGATAAGGCTCCATCTCACCCAGGCACCACTAGTTTGCCGCAGGGGCTGGACGGCCCTGTGCTCCATCCCGGGAGCTGCAGGCTGCAGTGAGCCCTGTGCTGCTGTCCGGCCTGTGTAGGATGCTCCCCCCACGCCCTGCCTCCACGTTCCTCTGCAGGCAATGGCTGGACACCACCTTCCTGGAACCCCTTCACTGTCTCTCACCCCACCAGAGTTCAAATCACTGCAGAAGGATCATTCCGAGCCTAGACGAGACCATTCTGGACTAGTTCCAAGGAAGTGGCTGGCAGCCGGAGGGTGGTCTGTCCCAGAGCAGGCTGGGGCGTGGGGAGTGTGCCACCCGCAGCCTCTGCCCATGTTGTGCACTCTGCCTGGTATGGTTTGGGATTGCGGTTCTGCTGAGCTTGGGTGGTCAATGCAGAAGACTAAACACGGCCTTCCTGGTGCTCTGGTCCTTCCTCTGCCTCCGGGAGCAGGCGTGCATCAAAGGCGGCGTGCTTTGAGATGTCTGGAGAGCATTTTCCCTGCTTTCTTTGCAACACACTGTAGAGTCTGGGGCATGAGTTGGGGACGTTGGTCCTGGAGGCAGGAGGACAGACTGACTGGTGGGTGGCTGCCAGAAGGTTCTTCCACACAGCCCACTGGAGCGTCTTCTGCACATGCCATCTCTCAAGACCTTCACGAGTGAGGCTTTGAAATGAAGTTCTCAGAGGAAGAATGTTCTCTGCCCCCATCATGGAGACCACCCAAACAGCTGCCCAGAAGAGACCCGCAGCCATGGGTGCCCAGTGTGAGCATCATCCCCTCGGATGCCACAACAGCTTGGGGATTAGATGCCGACACTGGTCCCACTTGCACGTGGGGAACTTGAGGACGAAAGAGGCTGCGTGGCTTGTCCAGGGCCACACGACCGGCAAGCATGGGCTCCCAGCCCAGACCCCTCACCCTACCTCCACACTCAGCCTCACCCTCGAGACAGGGCCTGGGGCTCCCACAGGGCCCCATCTGAACTCCACTCTCCTCCGACCCCCAGACAGACTACTTCCACCTTTTCATCTGCGTGGCCATTGTGGTCATCTATGGGGACGATGTCATCGAGCAGCAGCTGGCCACCGACCAGATGCTCCTGCACTTCGGAAACCTGGCCATGCACATGAACGGGGAACTCGTTCTCAGGAAGGTGAGTGCCGCCCTGTGCGCGCAGGCCCTGCCCCCCCTACAGAGCCCCACCCCGCATGTGGTCCCCTCCCCCCACGTGGACCTGCCCCCACCCGCGTGGCTGGGGCTCTTCAGGGATGCCGTCCACAGTCAGGCCCCTGATGCAGGAGCCTTCCTCACTGGCCCGAGGAGGGAACGCATTCCCAGGGCTGGCAGACAGCTTGTCCACCTTGGGGCACACCACTTAACAGCCCAGAGCTAGGAAAACTGAGAAGGAGGCTGGACACGGGAGGGGCATCTTCTCATCCAGGGTTGGCCGGGACAACGAGGGACCTTGAGTTTTTGCCTCCTGCCCTGCTTCCCAGACTCCCGCTGGAGATGCTGCTGCTTAGAGCTCTCTGGTGGTCCCTCAGGAGCAGTGAGGAGGGGTCCCGGGGTCAGTGGTACCGCCCAGCACGGAACACCTGAACAGACCCTGCAGAGGCAGAAAGGTGGCACGTGGGGCAGGGGGCTGAGTCCAAGAAGGGTCATGCAGAAGGGGACAGGGCAGACCTGGCCGGGTTAGGTGGAGCCCCCGTGCTGCTTTTGGCCTGTCCACCCTTCAGATGAAGGCCATTTGGGGGCCTTGTCTTCAGCCACGTGACAGCACTGCCCAAGACCTCGTGGTCTGGCTGTGCTGGTATCTAATGGAACGTGACAGCAGAGCCCTTGGCCCTCAGCCTGATACAAGGTGAGCCCCACGGGGTTCCACCCTTCAGATGAAGGCCATTTGGGGGCCTTGTCTTCAGCCACGTGACAGCACTGCCCAACACCTCGTGGTCTGGCTGTGCTGGTATCTAATGGAACGTGACAGCAGAGCCCTTGGCCCTCAGCCTGATACAAGGTGAGCCCCACGGGGTCGGCCACTGCAGCTGCTGTTCCTCGGCCACTCCCATGAGGTCCCTGGTGCCAGGCTGCCCCCCGCCCCTCCTTACCGCTTGTCCTTTCTCTCTGCAGGCGAGGAGTCTGCTGTACCAGTTTCGCCTCTTGCCCCGGATCCCCTGCAGCCTGCACGATCTGTGTAAGCTGTGTGGGACTGGCATGTGGGACAGTGGTTACATGCCCGCTGTGGAGTGTACTGGCCACCACCCGGGGTCGGACAGCTGCCCCTATGGGGGCATGGTGGAGATGCCTTCACCCAAGCCCCCAAGAGAAGGCAAGAAGGGCCCAAAGACGTCTCGGGAAGGCTTTGGTTTCCGCAGATAAGTTGGGCTCCCTGCGCTGGACGACAGTCGGGGGGGCCTCTCTGGAGGTCCTGGGCATGAGGGAGGGGGTGGGATGGGTGTGGAGTGGAACGGGGTATGGTCGAAACGTAAGGGAAATGCCTTTGGGCAACGTAGAAGCTTTTCATAAAAATGACAAAATCAGAGTCCGGAAGTGACAGAGTAAGACCCACCAGCCACCCAGAGGAAAGTCAGCTCCTGCAACCTGGAACCAGCGTGCACGGCCACTCCACCTGGGCCGCAGGCCTTCGGAGGATTTCAGCACGTGCCGGGAAGTCCTCTAACTTCGTGAGCAAGTAGATGGCATTGCCAGGCGATGGGAAAAGCAGGAGGCCTCCTTCACCCCCCAGCGCTGAGGGACGCAGAGCAGAGGAGGGTTCCATCCAGGCGCAAAGACACCTCTGCAAGCCAGACACGCTTCCTCCTCAGACCCGTCCCCACTG